TTTTTTTTTTTTTTTTTTTTTTTTTTTGCTACATGTTCTAATGGTAGATGGAAGTGGAGTCTTCTATTTCCAGTGATCCATCCTTAACCAATGATTCTGATTTAGATCAAGTACAACGAAATGCAAAGATAAATGAGCATTTTTGTACAGCTGTCGGTGGAGTTGGTAAAAAGCAGCGATTATATGGGGTTGGGAGTTTTGGCGCCTCACAGGTATCTTTATTTTTTTTCTTTAATACTCAAGTTTCCTGTGAATATATATTGTTTGTCAACTTATTTTTACGATAAAAAATTTGTTGCTTATTTTATATTTGTTTTAAAGATATTAGCAGGAAAGTTATCTCGGATTTCAGATGTTGACATAGCGCGCATTCGTGAGGAGGGAAGAGCTGAGGGTCGGGCTGAAGTGCAACAAATCTTAGATGAGTATAAGGGTGAAGTGCAACAAAAGTTTGATGACATGGATAAACGGTTTGAGTTGATGATGGCCCGCATAAATACATCAGAGAGCACACCTTCTGGATGCTCGTAGAGTTCGTGTTGTAGTACTCGTGGTTAGATGACAATCATTTTGAACTGGATGAATGATATTTTATTTAGAACTTTATTTTTAGTTAGATTAACTGAATTATGTGTGGATTTTATTTTCTAGATTAACTGTGTTGGATGAACTAGATGAATGATATTTTATGTGGTGTTGTTTTGTTGAGAAAGATTGTTCGTATTCATTTTGGTAGGTAATAACTTTGGAAAATATAGGTTTGAAATATGTTGATTTGTTGGAATTTTGTTAGGAGGATTTTTTGTTGATAATTTGTTGGTAAAATATCAATTGTTACTATATTGGGACAATCTGTTGGTAATATGTTGGAAAAATCCGTTAGTAATATGTTAGGAAAACATCCATTGGTATCCGTTGGTAATCTGTTGGGAAAAATATCCGTTGGTAATTTGTTGCCAACATTCCGTAGGTAATCTGTTAGTAATCCTTTGCCAACATTCCGTTGGTATTCTGTTTGTAAACAGGTTCGTTGATAATCTGTTGGTAATTTATTGGGAAAATATTCGTTGGTGATCTGTTAGAAAATATGTGTTGCCAATCCGTTGCAAATTCCGTAAATAATTTGTTGGCTTCGTGTTAGTAATTTGCCAACGGAATTATTTTGGTAACACATAATCAGTTGAGAATCTATTGACAATGCCATGGAGCACTTCCGTTGCAAATCTGTTGGTAAGCTGTTGAGAATTTACCAACAGATTACATTTTCCGTTGATAAATGTTTAGCAACAAGTCATATAGTAACAAAATAATTTGTTGGTAATCCGTTAGGATTCTGTTGGGATACTTGATTACCAACGGATTATTCCGTTAGTAAAACTCTTATTTCTTGTAGTGTGAAGAAAAAGTCTAGTGACCGGGATGAATTATTATTATAGTACTAGTATTAATCTAGTCGAGCCGAGTAGCTTTCACTTCGAATTGGACTCTTCAAAAATTTAAATTTTTGAATGAGATGTTTGGGAATACAAAATATACGTTCACAAACAAGTTTGCCTATACTATTTCATAAACACTTAAAAAATATTTAATTGAAATGAGTTGTTTTCTGATATTTCAAAAGCTGAAAAAGCCTGAGCCTTTCATTGTGCAATCAGCTCCTAATAATTGGATTGAATCCACTTGACTCTCAGACTCTTCTCAAAACAGGTTCTAGATCTTGTTGATGGAATTCTTTTCTTGCTTAGACTCTGGTGTTTTCTGATGGTCTGCATTGCTCGTTATTGTTGTTGATCCTTTGCTGGAGTGCGTTTTAATATGGATGAGGGAGGTTGCAGTGCTCCATGTTGTTGGTTGTCTCGGAGACGTTGTGTATGTTTATCTGTTTGTTGGAGGTGGGTAGTGCTGCTCATTTGGTTCCATGCAGGGTTAGAGTTGTGGGTTGCTTTGTTGATTGGCTGATAAACGGTGGTAGATGACTGTGGTATCTTCTGTTGGTTGTTTTGCTGAGTTGATGTTCCTGTGCCTTCAGCTTTTGTTGGTTTTTTAGTTTCTTTTTAGTTAGTTTTTGCTTGCTTTGGTTTTGGGTGCTTTCTGTCTTTTTTCCTTAGCATAGAATCTGCTACTAGGCCGTTTTGGGCAGTGGTAGTAGACTTCTCCTTTAGCTGGTAGATTGGTATTTGGAGTATATAGATTCAACTCTCTTGCTCCCTTGGTTTAGCTAGCTAGTGAATTGATCGCTATGCTTTCTTTTGGTAGTTGTCCTTCGGGACCCCTTATCAGGTTTATTAACCTGGTTTGTATATTTCTTTTTTGAGTTATAAAATCTATCGTTTCAGGAAAAAAAACGAGTTGTTGGTGAATAAGCTTCTCTTGTCTTGTTTAATAAGCTAGCTCGATTAGCTATTTAAGTTTGGCTCATTCGAAATGAACTCCAATTTTTACAAGTCGAAAATGTAAAAAACTGGGGAAAAACGGTTGCGATCCCACTAACATGAAGCGCACCAAGTGCGAGAAAAGCCCATATGAAGCTTAAATGGGGTTCCATCTCAAAAACAATTGGTGGAAGGAGGAGTAGCCCATTAGACTTATAAGGTGGGTCTATTTTCCATGTATGAACGATGTGAGATAACTCACAACTCACATGTGACTGGTACGTCATCGCACGGTCACCAAATATTCTAACACACTACCTCACTTGTGAGTCATTCGGAAGCCCAAGCCCAATTGGTCCGTCACCGCACAGTAACCAAATATTCTAACACGCCCCCTCACTTGTGAGTCCTTCGGAAGCCCAAACCCAATTGGGTTGGGTGACGGGTACGTCATCGCACGATCACCAATAGTACTATGTAAGAAATTGGGGGAAAAACAGGTGCGGTCCCACTAACATGAAGCGCACCAAAGGCGAAGAAATCCCATATGAAGCTCAAATGGGGTTCCATCCCAAAAGGTGGGAGGAGGAGTAGCCTATTAGACTTATAAGGTGTGTTTATTTTTGAGGAAATAGCTATTTTCACCCCGTTCTGAAGTCACACTAAGTTTTTCACA